CAACAATAATATAATTAAATAAAGCTGATTTGTGGCACCTAAGATTAGGACACATAAATCCTCAAAGATTCAAATAAATACAAACCATGGCAAAGGGGATTGATCCCTTTGATGAAAGAAAAATTACCTTATGTCAACCTTGCATAGAAAGTAAACAATATAAAAAAAAGTTTCTTATACAAGGTGCACAAAGAGCTACCCAATTATTAGAACTTATACACTCTGACATTTGCAGATCTATGTAAGTAGGCTTAAATTCAGGATGTACTTACTTCATCACATTTATTGATGATCTAATAAGATATTGCTAAGTGTATTTGATGAAACACAAATTTGAAGCATTTAAAAAATTCAACAGTGTATCCTATATCTATTCTATAGTGTATAAGCTATACAGCTCCTATATAATTGTTATTGATTTCCAAATCTTAACCGTAATCCGATAATAACCGCTTTTAATAACTAAATCAACCATCCATCATCCTGAATTGAGTATTCTATGGACTATTAATCTATTTTATTAATATCTTACAAAAACAAACTAATATCTATTCTACAGTGTATAAGCTATAGTATATTCTTATTTAATACCTTCTTTGTTACAAAAATCTTTAAAATCATTGGATGTATATTCACCTTCATAATCAAATTTTAAGATTTTAATTTTGAAATTTGTTTGTTTATTGAGAGTTGTGTGTGTTTTGGATAGAGGAAGTCTGTGATTACAAAAATTTTGTGAATCCAGATTGGTTGGAGTGAAGTCTGTTATTCTTGGTGTTGGATGGAATTTATGAGTTTTGAGCAGTCTTTTAAGAGTGCGAGATTGCACACTATTGTTATCAAATGATGAAGGAGTATTGTTATTGGAAAGAAGCATTTTAGTGTTTCTTAGTGTTTTAGTGGTTTGGAATACAGTTAATTGTGTGACCCTAACTGGTAAAGCTCATGCGCTTAGTCTTTTTTTGTATTTGAATTCCCCTATATATGTTTATTCTGAAAGGAATTTGTAGAATAAGTAAAACGATAATTACATACACTACAACAAAATGGTGGTTCTGAAAGAAAAAATAGAATATTAATAGGAGTAGTACTTGCAATGCTATCCTATTCAAACTTACCTAAAACTTTTTGGAGTGAAGCACTCCAAACAATAAATTACCTCTAAAATAGGGGCCCTACAAAATCTATACAAGTTACCAAAACATCATTTGAATTATAGTACAAATGACAACCAAATTTATCCTACCTTAAAATATTTGGTTGCAAAGCTCATATATTCATTCCTAAAGAAATAAAAAAGAAGTTAGACCTTCATTCACAAGAGGCTATCTTTCTAGGCTATAGTGAAGAAACTAAAGCCTATAGACTTATGAATATACAAAGTCAACAAATTCTTATTTTAAGAAATGTTCTCTGTAATGAGAATCTACATGATCCACAAACAACCCCATACTTGTAAAAGGGCAATGAAGAACTCTTACTAGATTTAAAATTATTAAAATATCATTCAATAACTAAAAGGACCAATGAACAAATCCTCCCTTCTATTCAAGGCATGTCTTCCACATCAATATCACTACCACAAGAAATACATGTATTTGATGAATCACCAATACATAATATTCCTTCAAATGTAGGAGAACAACTCCCTTCTCGCATTGATGTCATAGAAGACTTCTTTCAACTATTATTACCAAATGATCAAGAGATCTTACCTCTTGTTGATGATGAAGTACATTCCACATTGAAGGCTCCAAATCTTCTTACTAGTTCTAGACCAACAAGAATTATTCAACCAACCTGAAGATTGTTGGAGTCTATACAACAATCCACATTACCAAGCCCACCTTGTTTCTACTCATATAGAAGCTCCAAACTCCATTCAAGAAGTAATGGAGAGGGTTGATGCTGAAGAATGGCAACAAGCAATCAATGCTGAAATTACATTCGTAAATAAGAACAATATATGGCATATGACAAATTTACCTCCTAATCAAAAATCAATCAGTTCAAAGTGGATTTTTAAAATCAAAACTAAAGCTGATGGAAGTGTTGACAAATATAAAGTAAAGCTAGTTGCTAGAGGTTTCACCTAAGTTCAAGGTATTGATTATACAAAGACATACTCTCCTCTAGTCAAACTTAACTCTATCAAAGTTCTTCTTGCTTTAACCGCTTAACATAATTTGGAAATACATCAACTAGATATTAAAACAATCTTTTTAAATGGTTTTATAGAAGAAGACATCTATATGACTATTCTTGAAGGATTACCCTCTATACATACTAATAAGATATGTAAATTAAATAAATCCCTATATGATCTTAAACAATCATCTAGAGCATGGTATCAATAATTAGATCAGTACTTAATCCTTCATAAATACCAACATCTCAAAATAGATGTAAATATATACATCAAAAGATAACATAATTAAGATTTTATCATAATTACACTCTATGTTGATGACTGTATTCTTGTCAGCAACAAGCTTCCTTTAATTCAGTAAGTCAAAGACATTCTCTAACAAGAATTTGATATGTCCGATGAAAGAAAAATCCATTATACTTTAGGCAATGCCATATTAAGAAATCAAAAAGAAGGATGGATCATCTTCCATCAAGCCAAATATCTAACAAATAAATTTAATGAATTAAATATATTGAATTCCAATCCATTAAGCATCATAATTCAGTCAGAAATTTGTTTAAGTAATAAAGATCCTATTACTTTATCTGCTTATCTCTATTCTCAAGTTGTTGGCAGTTTAATGCATGCCATTGTTAATTCTAGACTTGATTGTGCTTATACTATCAACAGTTTAGTACAATATCTTTCTAAATTAGGACCTACACATATTCAAACTTTGAAAAGAACTATGAGATATATAAAAGGCATATTATCTTTTGGAATAAAATATCAACACTTACCTCAAGGTGATATTCTCCATGGTTATTTTGATGTTGACTAGGCAGGTCATAAGGACATCCGTCGCTCCACCTCTGGCTTTTGCTTCTTACTAGCTAGAAGAGTTATCTCTTAGGATAGCAAGAAACAACAATCAGTTGCTTTGTCATCCACAGAATCAGAATACATGGCTTTAATAAAAGCAACCACTGAAGCCATATGCTTGAGAAAATTATTACATGAGCTTGGATTCCCTCAACAAGCACCCACCATCATATACTCAGACAGTCAAAGTACAAATGCTCTCAGTGAAAATATAAAATATCACTCCAGAAGCAAATAAGTGGACACACAATACCATTTTATAAGAAAAAAGATACTTGCCGACGAAATTAAATTATAATATGTGCCAACCATGTATATGACAACAAACGTATTTACAAAATCTCTTTCCAAAGAGAAACATTTTCAATGCATATCTCAACTAGGTATATATCCTATTCTTCTCAACTCCACTCCGACACCAAAGCTCATCACAATAGCAGTGGAACTCACCATGGCCGATCCCACATCGACAGTGCCATGTTACAACATGACTATATGATGAAAATATAAATGAATAAGATTTATTAATATTTAGTCATCTTGGATGTTAGAAACAGTGGCCAATTCCAGTGCCAATATTCAGGGGCTAGTTAATGTCACTCCATTGTAAGTTGTACCATCGAATGTGACAACAGTGTATGCTCTACTAGCGTCATCGAACCAAATACCCTTCATACCAACGGGATGACCAGGATCATTTTCTAATCCTATATGGAATAAGCCTAATAAGTATATACCGATGGAGACATCCAATATGCCTGATGGGGATGCAAAAAGATCACTTCATTATTTTCGTTGCAGACAGATTGGTCATCATGCTAGTGAATGTGCCAATCCCAAAGCCAGTGTCAATTACGCACTAGTGTGTGGGAATAGCAAGCAGTCACGGCATACTTATTAGCAATGTAATGCTCCGTTCAATTTCAATAATCGTGATCAGCAAATCCAAAGCTAGGGAAAAATTGAGAGGATAAATTGAGGTCCTCAAGATTCTCCAATAAATCAGGTAGAATAAGTTCAAGCCTTTCTTACCAGGAGTCGACAAAAGGAGAAAGAATCAATTCAATATTCAGGTGAGTCTGAAGTGAAGGGCCAATTTGACCCAATTACGGGGACATCCAATCCAAGTATTGGTAATGGCCTCTTACCCAGTATGAGACCTGACTCGGTTGGGCAATCCAATGAGGTCTCGAATACAAAGGCTTCGGTTCCATTTCAAGCTCTCCCGTTCTCTATGCCGTTTCGGAGAAACGTCCTTTCCATGAAAAGATCCTCTTAGAGGCGGGAATTCTATGGAGGCGGGTCTGCTGTTCCAATTCGGAGTCCATGGCGGAAGAATAGGAGACCTCACGGAGTTAAAGGAGAGGAGAGGAAAAAGAAGGGGGCATTCAGAGATCAAAATTTTGAGATCGGAGAGCTAGCTTCAAGCTCCTTCGAAAGGTGTAGAATTGGATTTCATAGGGTTTAGGAGGACTTTGCAATCGTTGCTCAAAGTCAATGTTTGTATTGGTGAATTGGATTTTTGCAATAAAGTAAAGGCTAGTACTCTTGACTGTTTTGTGAAATTAGAGAGACATCTGTGGTTGAAATTTTAGAGGTGTTTAGATGGTTGAGTATACTAAGTGCATGCAAAAATTTGTGTTAATCTTACGGTACGGATAGAGGATATTTGATCATTAGTATAAAGAGGTATCAGAAGTTGGCATATTGAAGTTTTATCTTCCACAGCCAGATGCCCTGTGCGTTCTCAAGCTAGATAGCATGTAATACGACATCGGTTGACCTCATCGCAAAGCCCATCAAGGCGCCTACATCGATAGCCAATCCTCCATGAATATATACGCAAGTAGTGGAGCCAATCTTTAGGGGGGCAACAATCTTCAATAGCACCAATAGCTCCAACAACAACAGCAAAGACAGCTTCACAACAAAAAAAGAGTGTGCGCGGAGCAATCATGAAACACAATCTAACAACAATTCAAAATCATCAAAGAAACACATACCTTCTCAGATTTGAAGAAGCAATGGGAGAGCTGCGAGAGAGCTCTACATCAATGCAACACCCGAAAAAGAGATTGAAATCCTATATTTCTCATACATATTTCTCATAATGGATGAACTTCCGTAATAGATGAAATCCAATTTGAGGATGAAGATTAGTGTACTAGTGGGAGTATCGGGAGAATTATATTATATAGTACACTAGTCTCCTGTGTAGAATACTATGTACTCTATATTGACCTTGGTGTCACAGTGGTACACAGTGTGTACACACAATATATATATTGTGTATCAATTGATCATATTAATAATAATGACGTTTTCAACAATTGCTGCCACGAATTCCAACAAAAATTGACATCGGTTCTCTACCGAGCTCCCGTACTCGTCAGTTCGATCATTAATTCCGTCTTTCAAGAATTGGTCCACCAGGTAGCCGTGTGCCGCGTGTAATTCTACGCCGTCGAAGCCTGGCGAAAAATGTGAAAATATACTTTATTGTTTGATCCATGTGTAAACAAGTCACAGAGACAAGAGGCTGGAAAGATGGATTAGGATGTTGATAGATCCACCATTCAAAGAATTTGACTCTAGCCTGATTGGATGATCCATAGGACGTCATTTCCCACCTGTATGTTGACGAACAAGAGGACTTCTCAACGTGGAGAAGATGTATTCTTCATATGCTACAAACGATATGATTCAAAGGGACGATAGATTGAAACATTACGAAGGGAGGTCGAAGGTCAAGAAAACCGTATGCACTTCTGTCGGAGCAAAAGAATTACCTGCGGCAATACCGTTTTTGGCGGCGTGTTGGAATTGCTGCACGATGAGCGGGATCTCATGGGCTGCTAGAGCTCGCGGATCCGAAAAACGTGCCATCTCGCCTTCGCTCAGCCTCACCAGGAAGGGGGGTTGAATGGCTTTGCCCGTAGATGATAACGGCTTTTGCCAATTGGGTTGATGAACTGCCAAACCATGTATGTCACTCAGTAGAGCACTGGTGAAAAATCTTAAGTATTGTGTTGTAAACCCCTAGGACTCAGCAGCAGCAGAGTGTTCGAGTTCGAAGGTAGAGAGTGTGTTAAAACTTCGAGTTTGAAGGACTTACTGTAATGGGAAGCCCGACCAACATGCCAGATCCGACAAAAGATGTAAGCTCCCTTGGCATGCACCGCACCCGTAACCTTTTTCCATGCCCTCACCTGCTCCGTCATGAAGATACCGGGCGAGTGACTGAACCTACAACCATCAAAAATGTTGCAAACCACGTGAGATCTGTTCTTAACCACCCCTACATGTGCCACCCACCTCTCAGATTGATTTGTGCACCTATGGGGTCTTTCACTCACATCACCCACGAGATTACAGAGGTTATCATATCTGGAAGCAGAATGACTAGCGCCAGAACCTTTTTCCAAATCATCGAAGTGAGAAGTACTACTTCTGCACAACATTCCAGACAACTTACCAGACAGGTAGGAAGTCCAGGATCAAAACCAATGATAACACTGCCTTTTCTGGACATGGCACGGACAGCACATTACACGACAAAGTTATAACCAATTCAATAGCTGCAAAGAGCATGGTGTCGAATGGTCATTCTACCAATTGGATGACCTGAACTCCTGTGAATTTAATCCTCGAAGTCGTCTATACTTAAAACGATGAACAGTTTAAATCACATCCACCTGGCCGTGCACAAGTAGGAAGACCAGACCAAAAACAGCTAAATTGTTTTCGATGTTCTACTGATCGACCATTTTAAACACGCGCTTAATAGTACCTGTATTGGCAAAAACGTCAGACCCGGTATTGATGTTATAAGTCAAATACAACAAGGATTGTAATCTTGCAGAGTAAATCAGGTTTCATTGTTATGTGAGAACCATTTGAGGACAAGTTCATTGAAGCCGGTGAGTAAATGTTCAGGAAGATGAAAGTAAGATTTCGCTAGAATAGTGGTACTTGTACGTACCCATAGGCTTCGGGGGAAACAGCATTGGCCTCAGAGATGAGAAGGCCACCAAGTGAAGCCCTCTGAGCGTAATGCTTCACAAGGGATTCCTGCGGGACGCCTCCAATGGCACGGCACCTAGTCATTGGTGCCAAGACCACCCTGTGCAATACATCGTCACAACAAATCTTTTAACACCATGCAGATTCATCGTTCGAACAAGCACGTTCTTTATTTGGGAGAATCAGAAGATCCAGCTTACCACTGGAATGATAGAACTAGTACATGAACACCAGCTGGTTTAGATATTATGTAGCCATATACATAATTGAAAGTTGCAATAGTTAGTTTTCAACAAATAAGGTTCAGGCAAGATGGATGAAGGAATCATGTACGAAAACACTAATCATCGCAACTAAAATGTAATTCCTGACGCAGCATTGCTGCGTAATGATTCTGGCAGTGTTGTTGAAAAGTACGAAAAGGTCTTTGTTTGTGTCCAATTTCCTTATGAGTAGGTTGGCTCATACCTGTGGTTCACAGTCATATTGCCGACTTGAACAGGCCAGAAAAGAGGATTCTCTTCCTCGTGTTCAGTGGTCGTCGCAGGCATATTCGATGAAGCTCCTCCACCGGACAAAAAAAGCTACACACGAGGTTTAATTGAACTCGAAAGTGACTTGTGACTCGGCTGTTCAATGTGTCACGTGTTTGAAGTTGAATATTCACCTCAATGTTGGGAACAAGGTCAGGGCTAACTATGCTCGATTGTCAGCGTGATTGAAGTGGGCATTCTATAATTAGTTCAATTCACAATGGGCCTCTAAGTTCTTGTGCCCCTCTTCGGTTCGCTGCCGAGTAGATTGTTTATTCTGGGACTACCACGTCTGCCATCTAGAATCTCATGACCTTGTTAAATCCCAGTATGATATTTACATGATTGGTTTCAATGAAGTCATTGGCTTAGCGGGTCTTTGCATGCTGGGCACACGCTCAAGCATGACTTACTGCCGGGAAGGTTTGTAGCAAGACGTGTGACTGGGCCAGCGCAGAAAACAGCGTTAAATCGATTGGGTTGCAGCCCACTAGGGGCACTCGTGGAGCTGCGAGTAGAAACATTCGCGAAAGCATCTTCAAGGGGCAGAATTCTGCGAGCGACCTGACCTCTACAGGTGACTATGAGTAGTTGTTCCCTCGGATATGGATGAATCACGTACTCTTCGACAGCAATGACTCGTCTCGAGCTGTTAAGCTGAATACTGCTCGATCTTGTGTGCGAGTCGTTCATCTCAAAGAAACACCCTCCAAGACTTTATGAGCGTGTCTGCATCAACGTAACACCAAGATCAGCAACCTGGCTTCTGGTGATCCAGTTATCATAACTGTCAGAGAGTTTAAATGGTGCTAAAATAATACATGTCGGTAACAGCGTCAACGTTAGCAATGCAATGGCTCCTTCACAGGAGCTTACTCAGGAGACAACTCCACGTAAACTAAAAGACACCCTAAAGCTTATAGCACCAAAAATCTGCAGGTATCCTGAAGCTAACACAACAGGCTGGCGATCGAACAGCATCGAATCGGTGGTAATCAAGTGGAACTCGATAGTGAAGCGAACGGTATGAGAGCACCAGCGCTTGACTAAGCCCTTACCATATATTTTGGTACAGCGGCATGGAAGATCCCCCTGAATTGAACAGATCATGTAGGTGACCGACTTGCAGAAGGTAGGATATGCAGCCTGAAGGATTCAAACAGAGGCAGGAAGACAGGAGGATATATACCCAAACAGACAGAAAATTTGAAAAGAAAGGAAGGAAGAAAGAAAGAAAGATGCTCAGCCCGAAGCAGACTCATCACAAGGCGAGAAACGCGACAGACCATGCTCAGGTGCAACTGTCGCCAAGACACTGAATGCTGGCGATTTGACACAACACGATCCCAGAACTCTGTCTGGGCGACTCCTGACGAGATGCCCCGTCGTCGAGACCCCCCCTCCTTTGGATGGAATGGGAAAACGGAGAACTGGGATCATCCAGCCACAGCCACATGAAGCCAGGCAGGCAAGCAGCCGGAGTGGCAGTGTGGTAGTGTGCCACTCGCTCGATCTCTCTCTCTCTCTTTCGCTCGTTCTCTCCCCACCCCTTTTCCTTCCCCATCTATCCAGGTCGGTGGGTGGGTGGGTAGGTGGGCACAGGTGCTATAGCAGCAGCAGCGGGTATCATTCGCTGCTCCCCCATTCCATTCCAGCCCATTCCACTTCATGGAGTAGTAGCAGCGCCGTACAAACGCGGTGCCTTGCAATTCCCGCAACCAGGGCAGCGAGTGAGTGAGGATGGAGCAAGTGACGACCACGCTGATGACACAGCATGGTCCTCGCCGTCCGTAGTGGTGTCCAAGTGCTGCAGCCAGAGCAACGAGAAGAGGAAGAAGAAGCAGCAGAAGCAGCAGTGCAAAGCCAAGGAAGGAAGGAAGGCAAAACAGCAGCAGCAGCAGCAGCACCCAGACACTTACATGGTACGTATCACCGCATCTTTTCTGATGCTACCCACTCTCCCCCTTTTCTTTTTCTTTGTTTCTTTTGGTCTCTTTCTACTCTTCCTTCCTGCACGGCTTTCTTCTTCTTCTTCTTGCGTGTGTGTGTGTTACCCAGCCTTGCTTGTACTGGGGCAGGTCCTTTTTGTGCCCCCATTTCTTACATCCCATTGCCCCCCCTCCTCTTTGCCTCTGTCCTGCACTCACACCCTATGAATGCATCACACATCTTTTTATGGGTATGCTCTTTGGCACATGTCTTCACTCATGATGCCTTTTTTTGGTTTGTTTCACATCTTTTTGCAACATTGCTTTTTCATCAGTTGTTTCTTCTGTTGATGTTTTGTTTGTTTGTTTTTTTATATGTTCTTTTATGAAAATGTTTTTGTCACATGTTTTGATTTGCAATTCATTTTACTAATTGCTTGTGTTTTCTTGTCCATACTTGTAGTACATGATTTAACTCAACAAAAATGATTGCAAGTGTTTTTTTTTTTTTTTTTTTTTTTTTACATATATATTTTTTTCCGCTTCATTTTTTATTTATTTTAGAATGTATTTTTGTTAAATTTTTTGTTCAGTTTAAATTTTCAATTTTATTCTATTTTACTTCTCTTTTGTTCATTCTTTCTCTTTTAACAATAATGCTTTTGACTATGTGTTTTCAGTCAATATTTGTTTTGGTTTTTGGTTTTTCTTTTTACTCATTTGTTATTTATATGTCTATGTTTTTATAGGTTCACTATTGTAAGGTTTTTTTTATGTGGTGCACATTTTAAAATCTCATAACTATACTTTTTTCATAAGTTTTTATTCAAAATGTGATTGTAGTTTATTCTTTGTCCTTTTAGAATTCTAGAATTGTCTAATATTTCTGCTCATGCAAAAAAATTGTTCACTTGTCAACTTTTTATGACCCCACCTCTGTCAGATATTTCATATGGTTGAAACTTTTATCATCATGTACTTGAAAAAGATAAAGATATATTTGATATATTATTATATATCAAGTAGGCATCTAGTATTTTAAAAGATTTTAATTTTAAAACTTTGGCAAAGATTTTTTTTTAATAATGTATTAAGTACTTTAATAATTGAATAGAAACATTTTTGAACTTTATTAAAAAAAAATTATTAAAAATATTTTTTTAATTAAAAAAATTAATTAAAAAAATACATAGTGTATTGATTTAGGTTATTATATACTATTTTCTTTTAATCTCATGCACAATAATACAAAATACTTATAATCAAATCAACAAAATGTACTGTTTATAACTCAAAGATTATTTATTTTAAATAAAAAATATAACAAATCTTGATGTATTGATTTAAAACAGAAATATGAGTTTATTTCTTTTTTCCAAAAAGTCATGTAATAATGTACAATAAGTGATTTCAACAAAATAATAATAAGAAATAACCACAACCCATCAAAGTTAAACAAAGTAATACATAATTTATTTATTTTAAAGAATATACTACAGTTCAGCAGATTATAGATTAAAAATTGTTAAAATTTAAGCAAAACCACCACAATTTTTGAGTTCAATCAATGTAAATCTAATTACACCAAATCTATTGGCATATTGATATTGATAAATATTTGATTAGATAAGTTTTTGATAATTTTCTTATCTTATTACTCTTTGATTTTATAGGAATTTGATTTAAAAAATAAAAAATCTTAATAGATATTCAAGGAGTTTTAAATTCAATGTTATTGATTTGAATATTATTTGATAGGTTTTTATTAATAAGAACTATTCAAGTTTCTAATTTAGGGCCTTTAATTTTTATATATTTAAAATCAATCAAAATTTTCTAATTTAGAGCCTTCGATTTTTTATACATTTTGATTGATTTTTATTTTTTTTATTTTTTATTTTTTTAATATCATTCCAAAAAAACTATAATGCTTCTTTAGGATCTTTAAATTTCAAAATGCTTTAATTTTTTCTTTCTTTCTTTTTTATTTAAAAGACTATATAGTTACATATATAATTTTTACATCTAAATAATTACTTACATTATATAAAAAAAAAAAATTAACTTAAGCTCACATCTTAGATGCGATCTAATAAAATAATAAGATTTAATTTATGTAATAAGATAAAATAAAAATGTTTTTTATATTCTTTGAATTAAACTTTTTAATGTATGTATATATATATATATATATATATAAACTATAGGTAATATTTATTTTAAAATTATAATCTAAAAATTATTAAAATTATAAAAAAGATTAAAAAATCTAAAATTTTTAATTTAATTTTTAAAACTTGTTACTACAATCATAAATCAAGAATAATAGAAATCAAAATATATAGTAGAAAATCAAGTAAAAAATTCTAAATCAATAATAGATCTAGTTTTGATATAATACAAATAAATATATAAAATTAGACTTTTTTTAAGATAAACTTATAATTATAATAATTTTTTTAATTAAAATTTTAAAACCATTTACCAATCAAAAAAATAGAATAAGTTCACTTTTTACCCTTGTTACCAGGTATTTTTTTTAATGTTTTTGAAAATATATTTATTCTAAATCATAGAATAGTGTTTTAAAAAATATTAACAAATAATAAAAAGCATGTTAAATTTTTCAATACAAACTATTTTAATCATCATACCCTTATGGTTTTAAACCTCATCTCATTTAAAACTTTATATAAAATTAACTATAAATAATCAAAGAGTAGCAACAAAAAAGAAAAAAAGGTCATTAAATATTTTAAATTTTTTAAAATATAATATGCAGATATCTATATATATATATACATATATCTATATGTGTGTGTGTGTGTGTGTATATATATATATGAGTATTTAATAAAATAAATAAAAATATAGATAACCATGGATATGTTAATATTTCAAATTAAAGTTGGAATAAAATTCTAAAATACTAAAGACTTAAGATAATATTTTAAGTCTTAATTATTTTTAAATATATATATATTTATTTTAATTTTAAAAAAGATTATTAAATGAATAAGAAAATGCATTATAAAAACAAATACCTTCTATTGCTCATATATGGAACAAGTTTAACTTATTATAAAGAATCTTGTAATATAGCACTTTTAATTAAGTATTTTTAAATTTTTAAAATAGTAGGTAAGAAATACGTTTTGGATAGAATTTTCATTTCTAAATATATCTTATTTATATGAGTTTTAAAAATTATTCAAAAAATATATATATGCATATATATATTCTTAATTTATTTAATTAATATATATATATATATATATATATATATACTCTTTAAAACTTTAATTATTTATGATGAAACAATATGAAAATTTCATCAGAATTTTTAAAAGATTAAATTTCTGTATTGTCATTTGGATTGTAACTTGAGCATGTTTGTTTATAGATTTAATAAAAAAATGGTCTATGCAATAAAAACTAATACATTGAGATCTACAATAACAACTGACTGATGCCTTAAAGAAATTCGAAGATTATAATGATATATTTAATGATGTTTTTAGAAAATTAGAGTATTCAAAAAAAAGATGAAAATATAAAGAAAACTATTAAAAACATTATACAAATTACGACATTTTATTTATCAAAAATAAGTTCATAAATTTTAAAATTTTAAATAGAAAGAAAAAAATAGTTCTTTCAAATAAATTTATAAATTTAAATTATTACCAATTATTGAAAATAATATATCAAAGTTATATTTCTAAAAAGAAATCATAATTTAAAAGTATTGGCTACAAAAAATTTGTAACCTTTAAGTTGAAGTTGGTCAAAATATAAATAATTCATTAATATTTTTAAACCAATAATTTATCTTTAAATATAGAATATTTTTAGTAATTAGGTTATTTTTATTATATCTTATAAATTGAAACTATAAGATATTAATAAAATATATTATATTGATTATAAATTACATAATATTATATTTTTTTATAAAATTTATAAGATTTTTTAGAATTAGAATTTTTAAATATTTATTTTATCTAATATAATATAAGAATTTAATAAAAAGTTTTTTTTTTTTTTTTTTTGTTTTTGTTTTTGTTTTTGTTTTTGTTTTTTTTTTGCTTCATTATTAATTGTTGAAGGTACAGGTAAGCTTTTTGATTTTTAAATCCACAAAAGTGATAAAGATGAACTTATTATTTTCGGATGTACACTACTTATAGATAACATCAAGTATAGTTCTGTTAAAATACTTCAAACAAACTTTCGTGAGC